CTCTCAGATTTGTTCATACCAAGGGAGAAATACTTCTGAGGAACCAGAAAGGGGATATGAATTCCTCTGGGAAAAATCATATCTATGAAGGGGAGTTTAGGGTACTATAGATTTTACTTAATCTATCTAGAAAGAATTTATTCATTTCAGCCCCTAAATCTTTAAAAAATTGATTTCAATTAAAACATTTGTTTTTTCCCCCTTTCTCTCCACTGAACAGCAAAAAACTCCACCAAAACAAAAAACTAAAAAACAAACCAAGATATCCATTGTAACAAACATGTGTAGTTAAGCAAAGCAAATTCTTGAATTGGCCATGACCAAAAATGTGTCTCAGTCTGCATTTTGAGTCTATCACCTTAGTGTCAGGTAGTGGATATTGTGTTTTATCATCAGTCATCTGGAATTATATACTATCATTTATTCAGCCATTCCCCAATTGATAGGTATCCCCTTAGTTTCTAGTTCTTTGCCATTACAAAAAAAAGTTACTAGAAATATTTTTGTATATAGGTGTCATTTTCCTCTGTCTTTGATCTCTTTAGAGATGCAGTCTTAATAGTGGAATCACCTGGTCAAAGAGTATTCAATGGCTTAGTTATTTGGAGGGCACAGTTTCAAATTGCTTTCCAGAATCGTTGGACCAGTTCACAGCTCCACTAAAAGTGCGTTAGTATCTGGTCCCCAAATTTAGATAGAGTAAGTGAATTTAGCTGAGGAAATCTAGCTCTCAGCCTATGAAGAAAAGTACGGCCAGTCGTTGGGGAAAGGACCCCTTTGGTTACAACACACTGTCTTGAGCAGAATCCCTATAAAAAGTCTTGGATGGAGATCCAGAGGGAGGAGGAGACACAGCCTCTTGTCCTTTGGGTGATGGGCACACATTTTTTTCACACAAAGGGAAACAGATCTAGCAGCAACTGGGCCAGAGATCCAGCTGGTGGCATGGGGGGTTAGGCTGGGGTGAGGAATTGGAAAGTAGTTAATGTGGGAAGGCTTCCTAGATGAAGCAAACTTTGAGAGGAAGTTGGGATGAAGGGAGAAATAGTATTTAGTGACTGGGTCATGCCAACTGCACTTGGAGTCCAAAGATCTGGGTTCTAGTCCTGGTTCTGTCACCTACCTATGTGATGGGTAAATTACTACCCCTCTCTGAGCCTCAGTTTTCTTTTCTTTGGACTAAAGGGACTGGATTAGATGATCTCTACCCAGTTTCTTTGGAAGGAAGGAAACTAGCATTTATCAGGTTCCTACTATCTGACAGGTACTTTACACATATTAGCTCATTTATTCCTCACAACAACCTTGGGAGGTAGGAGCTGTTACTTTCCTCACTTGATAGTTGAGGAAACTGAGCCTGACAAAGGTTCAATGACTTGCCCAGTGTCACACAACTAGTGTATGAAATTGGATTTGAACTCAGGGCTTCTTGACTCCAGGCCCAGAGCTCTACCACTGTGCTACCTAGCTGCTTCTGGGAGAAGACAACCTTGGTTGGTGAGGACATTGGGGAATAGCCTCTGGGGACAAGAGAGCATGAGGGGTGTGCGTGTGTGTTTTGGGGTTGGGAATGAGGAGTCTAGCTGGGAATTAAAAGAAATGACTGGGAGAAAGGGCTGAATGGCATAGAATAGGGGCCTAGAATTTAATCCTCAGGGCAGGGATTCTCTGTCTCCCTATAGTGATAATATATGACTGATAAAATGCAGCCCTTGTGGTCCCCAAAGGCTTAATGAATAGGTGTTGACTGACTCACTGTCTATGTCTGTCTCTCTCTCTCTCTTCTGGGGTGATGTTGAGGGTAGGAAAGATTCTGCTTGCCTTTGGATTACTGAAGACCTCCCCTGTCCTCACTGTCTCTAGCTTTCCCAGACACCATGATGGAGATGCTTTCTAATTCCTCTTTCTGGGCAGGGGCAGGGGGAGTTTACATAAAGGACATGATGGATGGGGAGAGAGAATTCAGTGTTCAGCACAGAGAAATATTCTATGGGACGGTATAAAAGAAAAGAAAAACAATGACAGTGATTGATCTCTGGATCTTCCAATCACTCATTCCTATGTCTTTATAAAAGTCTTAAGGCCTTTTCGTCTTCACTCAATTCATCCATACAATGAAGAGGATCATTTCCGTTTCCTCTTTGTTTCTTTTAGATTTTTCTCTTTGGTTCATACAACTCCTACTTATTTAAGAGCATATCATTTCTGTGTGGATTATCCAGGTTCTAGCTCAAGTCTCTGCCTTTTTCTACTTTTCTCTCCTCAAGTGGCTGCCTGTCTACTCAGACCTGGGCTCGTAGGGCAGGAAAAGGACAGGGAAGAAAAATTCCGCTTCTTTGCTTCTCACTAGCAATACTTTTCAAAAACAGGATGCGCAGTTAATAGGTAACAGTAACATTGGTGACTGGAGTGAAGATTTGGATGAGGATTCATGTGTCTCTATTATCCAGACACCCCTAGCCAATGGGAACATTAGGAGTGACATGTACTATTATGAGATAATAAATTATATATTCTTAATAATATCATCTTGGCAGCTGGGGTGATTTATTCGTAATGCCTCAGCATTTTATATGGGCATTAAATGGGTCAGACAGGACACAGAATAGGGAACACTCTATAGGAAACAGACAGCTTTGTGTGGTGGTGGTACCTGCCTATAATTCTTGCTACAGGGGAGGCTGAGACTGGTGGACTGTTTGAGTTAAGGAGTTCTGAGATGAAATAAGGCTAAGTCTGATTGGGTGTCTGCCCAATCTGCTACCACTAAGTCTGCTACCAATATGATAAGTTCCTTGGGATAGAGGAGCAGGACACTCAGCTACCTAAAGTGGGGTTAACTGGCCCAGGCTGGAAACAGATCAGGTCAAGGCTTTTGTGCCAATTAGCACTGGGATTGAATGGAGATTAACTGCTATGCTTTCAGTCTGGACAAGATAGGGAGATTGAGTCTCACCAAAAGACTCCCCTAAAAACAAACAAAAAACCCAAGACCACAGACAGATGCCCAGTTCTGAAACTCCATGATTCCTTAAGCACAAACGAGTAGTGCTTACCATAAACAGAAGTGTTGACAACAAAATGGTGCAAAGAAGTGATTGTGAATACGTTGCCCGGAAAAAACTTTGAGGATGCAGCAGGTGTTAATCAGAGTTTGGAAGTAGTGAGGTTGAAGAAGAGGCTGGAAGGGATTCCTGCATAGAGTGGAGGGCTGAACCAGATAGAGGATGCCAGGATGTTGGAACCTATTCAAACTAGCTCTCTAGACCTGATTGTTTAATCTTCAGTGTTAACATTTATACCTGGGAAATCAAACGAATGCTACAAAACAGGGTTTGATTTATTGCTTTGTTGATTATTTAGGCTTAAGAAAGTGACGGAGAAAATGGTAACAATACAGGTTAAGGAATATCATGTGTACATTCTCTCTCCCCCCCAAAAAATGAATTGCTAAACATTTACCAGGGCAGCCCTGGCTGACAAGCAACATGGGGTAGCAGACAGCCTGAAGAATTTAGAATCAGAGGACCTGGGTTAGAATCTTGGCTTAGCCACTGAGAGCCTTGGGCAAGTAACCAAGCCTCATTAAGTGTCACTTATCACTTCTATAAAATGGAGGCTGATAGTGGTTATATTACACATCCCAGAGTGGGCATGATGATTGAATTAGATAAAGTGTCAGATTAACCATATACAGCCCTGCCTGCTATTATTTATTTCCTAGATGGTCTATGACTTTCTATCTTTACAATCCTTGTTGGTGGGGATAGAAAGGGGTAGGGTGGGGATAGGGAAGGATGGAATGGACCTTGAGAAGCTGGAAAATGGACGAATAGTTGGTGGTATCCCAGATTATCTTGGTCAGAACCAAGAATCAAGAGAAAAGAGGCTGATGAGATGGGGAAGGGAAGGAAGCAACATATGAAGGGGTCCCAAAGGTCACTTGAGAATTTATAGACCATTAAGAGACTTTTAGGAATCATTTAATTCAACCCTTACTTGTGTACATATGTGTATATATATATATATATACATATACATACATACATGCTCACACATATATGAAACCTAGACTTGGACATGTAAAGCTTTCCATAAGCCATCCTCATGGCATAATGGAAAGCTCACTGGCTCAGGAGTTAGAGGAACTAGCTTTAAAGTCTGCTTCTGACATGAACTACCTGTGTGACTATTTCACACATGTGTCACTTAAGGTATCTAGATGGTACAGTAGATAGAACGCTGGACTTGGGGTCTTGAAGACCTGAGTTAAAATCCCACCTCAAACACTTACTAGCTTACTAGCTCTGGTTAAGTTGCATAACTCCTGTCTGCCTCAGTTTCCTTATCTGTAAAAAAGGATAGCACTTATCTTCCAGGATTGCTGTGAGAATCAAGTGAGATATTTGCAAAGTGTTTTGTAAATCTTAAAGTGTTATATACTAGATATTAGTTATTATTATTATTATTATATTATTATTACTTAATTTTCTTGGGTCTCATTCCTTAATTGTAAAATGGTGTTGAACAAGATGGCCTTTTTTTTTTTTCAAGCTCTAAACTCTATATTCCTATTATCCTAAAACTAGCCAGTGAATGGCAGAAATAGGGCTGGAACCCAGGTCTTCTAACTCAGTTCCTTGCTGAGCAGTATCTGATTCCTGAATACTGCTGAGTTTGCCTTTGATATCAGTGTCACAGAGAGCCCCTGCAGGCTATCAGGCAGGTGCAAGTGATCTGATCCAGGTAACTGTGCCCTCCAAATGACTTCTGTAGGTGTGTTTAGTGACAAGGCAGGTACAAGAAAGATGGGCTCTTGCCAAAGACCCAGCCCAAGGGATGTTTTAGATTTTTTTCCTTTTATGCCCCTGCAACCAAACCCAGCTGCTCCAGCACATATATAAGAGCCCTGAACAGAGGTCTTTTCATTCACTGGCTCTGGCCAATTCCCTTCTGCTGGTGGCTACAGTTCTCTGAAGGTCCTCTCTTCTCCGCCAGCCATGATTGTCAGATCTCAAGGCATCCGAGGCAGCTCCAGGGGCTTCAGCAGTGGGTCAGCAGTGGTGGGTGGGGGCAGGCGGGCTGGCTTCAGTTCTGCCTCCATCTCTGTCGGTGGAGGCCGTACTTGCTCTTCTGGAGGCTTTGGCAGCAAGAGTCTCTATAACTTTGGAAGGAACAGGAGCATCAGCACGGCAGGGAGCCGGCAAGGGGCTGGCTGTGGATTCAATGCTGGAGGCTTTGGTGCTGGAGGCTTTGGTGCTGGAGGCTTTGGTGGTGGAGGCTTTGGTGGAGGCTTTGGTGGGGCGTTCAATGGCCAAGGGGGATCCAACTTCCCTGTGTGCCCTGCTGGTGGGATCCAAGAGGTGACCATTAACCAGAGCCTGCTGACCCCACTCCACCTGGAGATTGACCCAGAGATTCAGAAGGTGCGGACAGAGGAGCGGGAGCAGATCAAAACCCTCAACAACAAATTTGCCTCCTTCATTGACAAGGTGAGCTGTTCTAAGTCTAGATAAGTGCAGACATTAGACTGCAGAGCTCTGGGGTCTCACACTGAAGGAATCCTGGATTTGGAATCGGAGTACTTGGGTATGAGGTAGGCCCTGATGAGTACTAGTTGTGTGACCTTGGGCATGTCACTTCCTCTCTGGGCTTTAATTTCATCATGAACAAAATGACCTCTAAGTCTAAACTCTAAAACTCTGTGATTCTTTTCTAATATGCTATGTGGCATGAAGCAAGTCGCTCACCCTTTCCGGGTTTCAATTTTTCCTAGCTGCAAAATGACGTAATTTCTCTAACTCAAGTGATCATAGATCAGTTTCCAGATAGATAACACACAGCACTCCACCTGGAGTCAAGAAGACCTGAGTTCAAAGCCTACCTCAGACCTTTATTTAGTTGTATGACTTTGGGAAAGTCACTTAACCGCTATTTGCCTCAGTTTCCTTATCTGGAAAATGGGGATAATAATAGCACCTACTCCCCAGGGTGTTGTGAGGATAAAATGAAATAATATTTGTAAAATATACTCTGCAAACTAAAGGTTTGCTACATAGCACTATCTAAATGTTAGTTGTGAGTGCTACCTACTGGAACTGGTAGGTGAACTCAGGATATTATAGAGACCAAAGTAAACCTGCTGGTGATCTTTGAGCTCACAGGCTGTGCTATGACATATTGGACAAGTGATAAATCCATTGGATTCCAGTCCCTCTGGTTGTAAAGTAGAAATCATCATTCCACTCAATGGCCTCCCTACTTTAAAAAAAAATTTTTTTTTAATGAGGCAATGGGGCTAAGTGACTTGCATGGGGTCACACGGCTGGTAAGTGTTATGCATCTGAGGCCAGATTTGAACCTAGGTCCTCCTGATTCCAAGGCTCTATCCACTGCTCCACTTAGCTGCTCCTATGGCCTCCCCATTTTGAGAAAGTTTTGGCTTGGGGAAGAATATAGCTTAACTCTGTTGGAGGGACTGTGAAGACAAAAGAATGGCCTCTCCTCAAGCCTATGTCTGGTCTAGCCAGTGGGCTGAGTAAGAGCCAGATGTGAAGGCTGGTAGAGTGCTAATCAACCTTCAAACAGCTGAGTCACGAATTGTGAAAGAACTGGATGAGTATAATCCCTGATGCCCTTTCCCCCAGTCACCAAGACAACTCTTTCATGAGTTCTACTCAGATAGGCTTTTAAAAATATGTCTAAATCCTGCTCATCCTATGTAGAAGGGCCAGATCAAGAAAAGTTTGAATGTATCTCATTAGAAGTTGACAAAAGAGCCCTGGATGTGGGGTCTAAAGACTTGTGTTCAAATCCTGGCTCAGTCACTTACTACCTAAGTGATCTCTAACAAGATATGTAACACCTCCCTCTGTGCCTTGGTTTCCTTTTCTGTAAAACAAGGTGACTGGATTAGAAAATTTCTAAAGGTCCCTCTAGTTCTAAAATCCTGATTCTTAATGATTTATTATTCTTGTCAAAGGCCAGGAAGTGGGGATTATCATGGCTTTTTTGAAGTATATACTAGTATTAGAACATGTAATATATTACATCTTCTAAAGCTAATGTATATCCTAATACATTACTAAATATACATTGGTATTAGAATGCATCTGTGTAAACTTAGGAAGTATCATTGACTCTCAGTGCTTACAGATCTGAAGGAGACCAGTTTTGAGGTCACCTTGATCTTCCCTTATTTCACTGGGCTCAAAACTAGATCATTCCAAGCTTCTTCCATTTATGCACTAGATATCTTTTTTGTACAATTATTTTTTTCATTATTAAATCTTATTTTTAATTTATGGAATAAAACAAGCATTTCCATAACATAGTACAATAAAAAAGGTGATCGCACACAAAACTGTGTATCTACTATGCACAACTTGCCATTTCTTTCAAATATACAGTGAAATTATCACGTAAATTTCTTTTTCTCCCTTCCCTCCCCCCCACCCTAGGGATGGCTACCTATATACACAAATATATATATGAAAAATTATTCTATACATACTATTTATCAGTTCTTTTTCTGATGCAGATAGCATCTTTCTTCATACGTCCTTTGTTGTTAATTTGGGTATTTGTAATAGTCAAAATTACTTATTTTTTCAAAGTCATTCTTAAAACAATATTGTTGTTATTGTATACAAAGTTCTCTTGGTTCTGCTTGTTTCACTCTTCATTATTTCATACAAATCTTTCCGTGTTTTTCTAAAGTCATTGAGCTCATCATTTCTTATAGCACAGTAGTATTCCATCACAATCACATTCCACAACTTGTTCAGCCATTATTAGTTATGCACAATTATTTAGGCGTTGTCTTTCCCATTAGGATGTGAGCTCCTTGAGAGCAGGACTGTGTTTTTGCCTTTCTTGTTATCTCTAATACTTGGCACAATGGCTAGTCACATAGTAATAAATGCATAGATCTTGAATGACTGTCCTTCCACTGGCAACTCCAAGTGAGGGACCATTTAAGGCAGAAGTTATCACTGAAACCAAACTGAGAATTCATGTTTGAGTGCTTACCTAAGCCCTTATCCTGGTGTGACCTGCCAAGCTCCTTTCACTAGAGGAAAGCTTGTAGTTACTATAACTCTAATGCAAATCAGAGTCATAGACTGTTGGTATTGGAAAGAATCTTAAAAATACAACTGTTTCATTTAAGAGATAAGGAAATTGAGACCTACTATTTCTAATGTACCTTCAAGCTCTGAGTTTATGGTTATTCTTCCCTCTCCTTCTAGTCAAGATTAGATGACTCACTTCCCACCTCCCCTTCTCTTCATATGGAAGGTATTTCTCTTTCAGGAACTCAATTGCCGGAAAAGAAGAACTGTGTTCTTTCCAGGAACTCTGTTTTCAGATAAACCGGCTTTTATTTGATCTACCTTAAGCCCCTTAGGCCTTGGTGAATCAATTTTTGTTTCTGAACAGGGGGTTTCCTTTCTATGGCTTGTTTGGGTTAGCTGAGCTGCACTGCCCAAGGCTATAGCTTCTGACCCTGGCCACTTGGCTTCTTTTTTTTTTTTGCTGTAGGTGAGGTTCCTGGAGCAGCAGAACAAAGTCTTAGAGACCAAGTGGAATCTCCTGCAACAGCAGACAACTACCACATCTAGCAAAAACCTAGAACCTTACTTTGAGACCTATCTCAGTTGCCTGAGGAAGAACCTGGACAGCTTGCTCAATGACAAGAGTCGCCTACAGTCTGAACTGAAGACTATGCAGGACAGTGTGGAAGATTTCAAGCACAAGTGCGTAGGGCCTGGAATAGTGGGGCAGGGGCTGTCCCACTGCCAGGAGCCGGGCTGGCTGATTTATGGGGTCTCTTCCCAGGTCTAACTTTCGAGGAGCCTGACATCATATGCAAATAACCATTCTCAACCCAGGCCTACTCTCCTTAAGCTCCTAGTCATTAGTTTAGAGTTGGAGATACTGAAGGGTCAATAAAGGTCATTGAGTCCATCTTCGTTCCTCCAGACATCCACATCAATAAGTTGCATGGTTAAATAAATGAATGGATAAATGCATAAACAAATCAATGAGAAAGTGATTTCACATCACCAATAGCCTAGTTGACATCTAAAACTATATATCTCAAAGTCAACATGTCTAAAACAGAACTGATTATCTTGCCACCAAGCCAAGACCTCTTACAAGTTGAAGTTCAAGAATTAGAGGCAGTTTTGATGTGATAGTATGGCCAAATCCAAGACAGAGTAGTGGAAATAGGACTGGTTTGGTAGTCAGGAGAACTGATGTCTAGTTTCAGCTCTATTAGTGATGAGTTGAGTGACCTTGGGCAAATCACTTCTCTGGGCCTAAGTTATCCTCATCTGTAAAATTAGATTAGATGATAGTTCAGGTCCCTTTTAGGTATGGCATTTATGATTCTGATTTCCAACTCTAATAAGCAGAGTCAACTAGAGTAACTTATCTCAAAAAATTGGAGACCAGATAGGTACATGGTGGTGAGAAAATACAAGTCTTTCTTCTTGTGCTAAGAGAGGCTGTTTCTACACTGTACCAAAGGGTTTCAGATATTGGCAAGGCATCACTAAGATGGCCAAATTGGGTAGAAATCTTGAATTCTTTCCCTCTGTTAGCATCAAATTACCTGGCTGAGGGCCCACTATCCTCTGTGTGGCATCATGTAGACAGAAGTCCTCAATTCCTTTTCCTCTCCCTTTAGAACAAAGTTTTAAATTTTCTCTTTGCTTCTATAGTGTCAAGATTGATTTCCAGGGTTTCAGTCTTATGGAAGAATTCCAGAGAATTCTACTTTCTGGACATTTTCAACTATCTGAGTGTTTGGTAGCCACTAGATATGCAGCGCAAGAAACACTAGCTAAACATGTTTTCCCTCTCCCGCCCCTCTTCTCTCTGACCCCGACAGATATGAGGAAGAGATCAATAAGCGTACAGCTGCTGAGAATGACTTTGTGGTCCTCAAGAAGGTAGGATGTGAGCTCTCCAAAGGGCTGTTTTCATGATTTTTTGGTGTGTGTGTTGTGTGTGTGTGCGTGTGTGTATGTGTGTGTGTGTATGTGTGTGTGTGTGTGTATCTCTGGAGCCTTTGAACTGTGCTTTGCAATATTAGGCAGTCAATGAATGCTTATTGAATTGAGCTGATGATGAAGAGGGCAGAAAAATGCCCGTGATGCCTTCTCTTTCCTTTTTTTGATCAATCTTTGACCTGATTCATCTAGTTTAGCTATCCCTATTGAATCAAATCAATACCCCAAACCCCTTTTCACTTAATGGTGCCTAGGTCAAAGGGAATTGGGGAACTGAGCCAAGATCTGAGAAATTAAGGCTGTACAATTTGATTAATTCATCCTCTTTCCCCCAGATAGACTTTAGAACTGTCCCTACAGGTAGAATTTGATACCATACTGGCCACTGTCTCCTTCAGTTAGTTTTTTTTTTTTCTACATACTGCTTCAAATCCAACTGAAATTCTTCCTGTTCCATGTCCTTCCAGTAACAAAATGCTACCTTATCTGTCTCTCTTTGTAGGATGTAGATGCTGCTTACATGAACAAAGTGGAGCTGCAGGCCAAGCTGGATGCCCAAAATGATGAGATCAACTTCTTGAGGGTCCTTTATGAAATGGTGAGGACTCTTTTATTGTCCTCTGGATCTGTGATACGGTTAGTTAGAAATAAGGCCCTGTCTATTTAAAGGAACTCTTCTTCCCTGTCTGGAAAATAAAAACTTATTGGAGAAAAACTCAAAATGGTGGAAGTGATCATAAACCAGAGATTCTATGTATGGAAGTGATTAGTTCTATTAGTGGAATTCTTAAGGGTCAAAAATTCCATTGGCGAAAGTGACCCATTCCATCTTATGGAATGCCCCCTGAGTTAAGAGCAAAGTATTCTTTTCATATGGAAGCTACTCAATGAATACTAAACTAAATTGAATTAAGAACTTTTGAAACTCAGTTCTACAAAAACTGAGTAGGACTACTCTCCTATAGAAATTAATAGCTCATATTGCTGTTACCACTGTAAAGTTGCCAAAACACTTCCCTTACAGCATCTCTATGAGGTATTTAGTACAGTGGAAGGATTATCATTTCACAGATGAGGAAATTTTAAAAATATTTTACAGATGAGGAAATTAAGGTTCAAAGAGGTCATGATTTGCTTACAGTCACATAATTAGGAGATATGTGTCTAAGGTGGGACATGAATCCATGTATTTTGATTATTAAACCATGACCTTTCCCTCTATGCTATGCTCCCTCTCAATGATTCCTCTCTCTCCTACTGCTTCCTCTATGTAAGTGTTCCCAAGGGGCTAAGCAGCTTTAGGCCAATCCAAACCTCTATGGTCTAGTCCAATTTAAATGGAAAAAGTAGATTTTTAACAATCAGAAATAATTTAGAAGGATATACCTTAGAGTGCTGAGGTGAACATCTATCTTTGTATTTTGCAGGAACTGTCCCAGATGCAGACCCATGTCAGTGACACCTCTGTGGTCCTCTCCATGGACAACAACCGATCGTTGGACTTGAACAGCATCATTGCTGAGGTCCAACTACAGTATGAAGATATCATCCAGAAGAGCAAGGCAGAGGCTCAAAATCTGTACCAGAACAAGGTGAGTGATGGGAGAATTGGAGGTTGGGGATGGCCATGGTCTGTGGGGCTCTGCTTCTGGAATTTCTAAGACTACTCCACCGTCCATCAATAAGTTCTTAGTGAATTCAAGTAAAAGCCCCGGCTAAGCAGAATCATGACTAATCTGCTTCAAAGGGACCACATAGATGTGTCCCCAAACCAGGCAGAGATGATTAAGGATTATTTAATATTTGGAAATGGGTATTCATGCCATCCAGCCTTAAGAATGGAGAGTTGACCCAACTTGGCATTTCCCTGACCTTCAGGTCCAGCAGCTTCAGAATTCTGTTGACCTGCATGGTGATAGCCTGAAGAATACCAAGAGTGAGATCTCTGAGATCAACAGGATGATTCAGAGGCTTCGGGCTGAGATTGAGAACGTCAAGAAGCAGGTGAGTCCCACCTCTGTTGCAGAGCCAGGGAAGATGGCATGGGGTGATACAAAGGTTCGGGGAATGACAAAGCAGAGGAATGCAAGAGAGGCAAATAGGTGAAGTGGCTAAAACAGATCAGATGGGCATCTGTCCTCTTAATAAGAAGGCTAGAGTAAGGAAACCCGGATCCAGGTCCTAGCTCTGCCCTAACTGGGGGGTGACTTTGGATGAGTCATTTCCCCTTACTAGTCCTCAGTTTTCTGTAACAACAATAGCAATAATGATAACTGACAAGTATCTATCCCTTTTGGGTTTTCAAACTATGTGAGGCAAGGTGGTATATATAGTGGTGAGAGTTCTGGATTTGGAATCAGAGTTAATAAGCTTTTTTAATACTTTATTTATTTATTTTTGGTGAGACAGTTGGGGTTAAGTGACTTGCCTAGGGTCACACAGTTAGTAAGTATCATGTGTCTGAGGCCAGATTTGAACTCAGGTCCTCTTGACCCCAGGGCTGGTGCTCTATCCACTGAGCCACCTAGCTGCCCCTTAAAACTTTAAAGTCAAAGGATTTGCATTTGAATCCTGACTCTACCACTTACAATCGTATCACTCTTGTCTAGTCTCTCACCCTCTCTGGGACTCTGTGCTGTCTGACAGTTAACATTTCCTTGCCCCGACCCCTCTTAGTGCCAAACTCTGCAGACATCAGTGGCCGATGCTGAACAGCGTGGGGAGCTGGCCCTGAAGGATGCCCTCAGCAAACAGACTGAGCTGGAGAGTGCCCTGCGGAAGGCCAAGGAGGAGCTGAACCGACTGCTGCGAGAATATCAAGAGCTGATGAACGTCAAGCTGGCCCTGGACCTTGAGATTGCCACTTACCGGAAGCTGCTGGAAGGAGAAGAGTGCAGGTGAAGTGGTGGCAGAGGTGGGGAGATAGAGAGAAGGTGGAAGCCAGTAGCAAGGAAAACAAACCTGGCTTGTGAGCCCAAGTCTCTCCCCTGCTGCCTGGTTCAAGTCTCCCCTGGAATGTTTAGAATTTTGGTCAGATCTGCTCCAGGCCAGAATAGTTTTCTAGTGAGAAGCATCAGACACGTAAGCATAAGGGCCTTTAGTTAGACCTGAGGAAATTTTCCTTCAAGAAACTGTTGTTCAAATGAAACAGGAGGTATGGAAACAGTATTCTCATCTGTTTGGGAGGGTGAGAGGAATAATCCTATCTAGATGAAGGGACTGGACAGGATGACATACGATTCACTAGGTATTTTTCTCCTCCCACAGGATGTCTGGAGAATGCCAGAGTGCTGTAAGCATCTGTAAGTAGTCTTTATGTCCTCTCGGTCATATACTGAGTAAGATTTGGATTTTTGGAGCCTTGATCTTAGATTTGTTGATTTAACCCAAGACTGTTTATTAATTTTTTTTCTTTTTGCTTCTCCCCCTACAGCTGTGGTTGGTGGCAGTGTCAGCTCTGGAGCCCTCGGAGGAGGATTTGGAGGCCACTCTGGCCTTGGGCTGGGCAGTGGTTTAGGTAGCGGAAGCGGCTTTGGGATTAGCGGTGGCGGCTCTAGCACCAAGATCGTCTCCTCCTCCAGCCTAACCAAGAGGACCGGCCGATAATGGCGAGATGGCTCCCTGTACCCACCTGAGCACACTGCAACCCTATCTCCTCAGTTTCTGTGCCTCTTTCACCTGAAGCTCCTACCTCTGCCCCATGCCCTCTGGGCCTGGCTCACAGGAACTGCTTGAGGATGAAAGAATCCTTTTTTCTCCCCCTTTCCAAGGATATCCGTGAGGGGATAGTGTCTTTGGCCAACTTTTTCTGGGTGTTTTATTGCCTTATTGCTGCTGTGGGCTGGCATCCTGACTGGACCAGGAGGAAGTTATCACTTGACTCTTCATCTTGGTCAGATAGAGGAGAAAAATAACTAGGAGATTTTTTCCTCCTCCTTTTAAGTAATCATAACCTTTTCTCAATAATGTGCGCCATCTCTTACTCATAAATGGCACTTCTCAATCTCTTAACCAGATATGCAATCTTCTAGCCAGACCATGGTAGGCTTTGCATTCTTCCAAACAGACATGCCCTTTCCCACCCAGATACGCTTTCTTCCACCCAGATCGGGGTTTGTTTACGTTCCTACAATCAGATACACCTTCTCCCACTTAAAATAAGTGATCTAATATTTTTGCCTCATTTATGCCAGTTCAAAATTCATTCTCCATCACCAAAAAGTAAAAGTCCTGGTTCTTCAAGGTTGACACACAGTCAGTTGTCCTTTAATCTCCTCCTCTTTCCCCCACTGCTCCCTCATTATCTTGTTCTGTTCCTGTTTTGGTGTATCCTCAATAAAATGCATGTGTCATTCATCCTGAGCCATTTGTGTTTTTAAGTAGGACATAGGGAAGCATGTGGCTGAAATTATTCAGGTAGTTCATACCATTGAGATAAAAGTGGCTTCTGGGTGGAATGATTTATTTATGCCGGGGATTCTTAACTTTTTTTTTAAATGTCATGGACCCCTTGGCAGTCTGATGAAACCTATGGATCCCTTCTCAGAATAGTGCTTTTAAATGCATAAAATATAATACATAGGTTTACAAAGGAAAACAACTATGCTGAAATATAGTTATAAAAATTTTTTTTAAAGCAAGCTCATAGACCTCCAGGTTGAGATGACTTAATCGAGAGGCTTTTCCCTGACTTAAGTTTTAGCTTCTTGTGTCTTCTGGCACTGAGGGGCTAGAGGAACCAAAACAGTGAGAAATATCCATCCATAAAATTGATGACAAGTCCCTGGGTAATGCCAATCCAATCAAACCAAATTCCCCCCAAAATAAAGAGGCCAAGGCTGAGAGAGAGGCTGGCTGGCTATGCTCTCCAATTGGTCAGATTCTCTACTTGCTAAATTCAACTACTATAAACATTTCAGATTTTTCACTGGGCTCCATGTAGGAAGGAGGCTAAAAATCCATGGAATGGGTGAGGTCTCCCTGTCAGAAACTTGTTCTAGCATTCAGTTATTGAATGAATGAAGGGGCAACTAGATGGACCAGTGGATAGAGGACCAGCCCTGAAGTCAGGAGGACCTAAGTTCAAATCTGGCCTCAGACCAAACACTTGACACTTACTAGCTGTGTGATCCTGGGCAAGTCACGTAACCCCAACTGACTAAAAAAAATTAATCCAATCTATTGAATGAATGAAATCATGTGAATGAATCACATGAAACTTGTGCTTTTTCCAGAGTGGGAACTCCTTATACAGAGGAATATCTAAGCCTTCCATAACTTAGAGTCTTAGAGAGTTGTTTGAGAGTTATTGAGGTGAAGTGACTTGTTTGCACAGCTGCTAAATGTCAGAGGTGGAATTTGTATCCGTGTCTCCTTGAATCCCAAGTCTACCACTCTATCCTCTGTTGACTCTCCATGAAGGATTGAATAATACATGAATGGGTCTTTTCTCAACAAAGCCTTCTTGTCTCCTTAACTTCCTTGGTTTTTCAGGAGCACATCAGTTATGCCCACAGGATATGCAGTTAAGGAAATAATAATGGGACAGTGAAGAAGGAAAGTCACTCAGGGAACAGGAAGTCCTTCTGCAGATGTAGGGGATGACTGTTACTGTTGTTATTGATAGAAGGGGTGGAAATAGCAATATTTCTTTTGAGTTGTGACTTGGAAATCATGTAGTCTAATGTTTTCACTTTACGGATGAGGAAATTGTCACCCAGAGAGGGAAAAGGACTTGGTTAATGATGGAATTGGGACTGAACCCCAATCTCTTGACACATCTCTGCTTTTCTGGGGATTCTGTTTGGGTGAAAAATTGAGAAAGTTAAAGCACATTCACAATCACCCAGAGGCTTAGAGGAGCCTGAGAAGTCATCATATCCATCTTACTCCCTCCTTTTGGAGCCTGGGGCCAAGCTGTCCCATTGCATCTACTTTCAAAGTTCATAACTAGTGTTAAGGTACAGGAGGCAAGCACTGAAATATCCATTGTTGCAGCTTTTAGGTGATATTTATTATTATTTATAAAAGATACACAGGATCAAGAGACAGTCCCCTCCAAGCCTAGGATTTCCAATTCTGGATACAGCTGGTAACCAAATAGATGATCCTTCATCATCCTCATTCGGGATAACAACTCGGAAGGTTTTTATACAAGGTATTACTAATAATAGCAATAGTAATTTTGTGCTAATAGCACAAGAAGGTGCTAATGGAAAATTCAGTTTAACCATTCTTTGACTTGGGCTGGGACTTTGCCACTATGATAAGGAACTTCCTTCCCCTTCACCTATCAGTACAATCTTCTTTTAGGGGGAGGTCATCACTTAGAAAAATAATGATAATAATTCTGCACAGGTTTCTGCCCTGAGATTGTCTATATAGGTTTGTGAATACACTGCCATCTATTTTGCAAGCCATCTTTAATGGAAGGGTCTTCTTAGGTGATAGAGGGTCTCCTTAGATAGAGTCTGGAAGACCTGAATTCAAATCCTGTTTCAGATACTAGCAGTGTGACCTTGGGCAAGTCTCTTAATCTCTCTGTGCCTTAGTTTCCTCATTCATAAAATGAAAGATTTCAACTTGATACCTTCTAGCTCTAAATCTAAGCCCAAGAAATCTTCTAGTAAGCTCTCAGATGTACCAGTTTCTTCCTCCCCACAATATTGCTTGTTTCTACCCATCCTAAGTAGATGTCACTGTTCTCCTTGACTGCTGAATAGCTCTATGGCTCCCCCACTCCCCCCAACTGGGTAATTCATCATACTTTTTAATTCCATTTCATCTCTTGCTAATGATAGTTGACCCTCCCCTTGCTGTGTAGATCTCATTGCCTCTCTTGTGATACTCTCTGTCCTCTGCTTCTTCAACCCTTGGCCTGTGAAATCCACCCCTTGGACATTGATGCATGGCTCCAACGCTACCTGGGGGCATTGGGTGACCAAACATCTAAATGGCAAATTCCAAGGGCTAGATATTTGGCAGGTGATTTTTATGGAGAAGCCCAAACCTGTTAGAGGGCTCTGTCCTTCACAAACACCACTAATCTCCTAATTGTCTTTGTTTCTTATTGCCGCATCTTCTCCCAGGCATGTGTCAGAGGAGGAAGTCTCCACAATGCAGTGAAACTGCTTCAGTGTCTTCTCAACATTGTTCCCTGCCTGCTGCTTGGCCCCTGGGAAAATACCAGCTCAGCTCAGTTCCAGATGTCTTGGGCTGGGGGAGCCTGGGCTTTGGCAGGGGTGGGGCCTGGGTTTCTTAAGCTCTGCACTCAACCATGGCACACCTTGAAAGTTACAGGTTGGAGTATCTTCTCTTCCCCACTTAGAAAGGAAAATACATAAATAGCTATACTTTGCATACTCTCTTTGCTTCCATTCAGGGGCTAATGCCTATGTCACTTTCGGGTCTTTGTATGTGCATGGGCAAGGGTGAGGGTTTTAATTTAGGACTACAGAATGAAGACTAGACCCAAGATTTCATGGGTTTAGTGAATTCTCAAATGAGGAAGCTTTCTCTGACAAAGCAGGGCAGCACCTTCTCTGTAATTAGTAGTCTTAAAAATGTTTTTTTTTTCCTAATTAAAAAGCATTGATTTTCTCTCCCTGTCAATCTATGCTGGGTGGGCAGAGAGAGAAAAACAAGACCTTTTTTTTTTCAAATGCATAAAAAATGCATAGTCCAGCAAAACTAAATCCCACATTGGCCATGTCCCAAAATGTGTGTCTCATTCTGCATTTTGAGTTCATCACCTGTCAGGAGGTGGGAGTTAAAAAAATCATTGGTGCTCTGGAATCATGATTGGTCATTATATTGACCAGACATCTTAAGTCTTTCAAAGTTTGAAACTAATAGTGTTAAAGAATTGCCTAGACTATTTAGAGTATCATAGAATCATAGATTTAGATCTGGAAGGGCCATTAAGTCAACTCCCTTTATTTTACAGATGGGGAAATGGAGGCATAGGAAGGTTAAATGACAATGGTCACATAGCTAGTGAGTGTCTGTGGCAGAATTGAGCCTCAGGTCTTCCTGACTCTAGTCTAGTACTCCATCTGCTCCAAGAGGTTAAGTAATTTGCCCAGGATGACATAGGCAGTGTGTGCCAGAGACAGGATGTGAACCCAGATCTTCCTGGCACCAAGAATGATTCTCTGTCCACTATCCTACAATGCCTCCCATTCTCATGTTTTAATTCAAGCCCTAGAAATCTGATTTTAAATTTGAAAACAAGCAAACATTATTTTTGGCACAGTCTCCTGATGGGAGTCCTGTGTTAACCAATCTCTGTAGTCAGTCAGATTGGATCATCTGAATTGAAAAAAAAAAAAGCCATTTTTATATCGATTTTTAACTGACACAGATCTATCAAGCTGGACTGGGGTCAATGTTACCCACCAGGGGCTGCATTGTATAGATACAGATGTCCTTGCTTACTTGCTTCTGAAATCAACTCAGAAATCCAAGTTTCTGTGCCACAAGGGTCTAGTGTCCAGAGAGGCCTTAGGGATCCCCACCTCTAACTGCCTCTTTTACCCATGAGTAAAGTGACTTTTCACTGAAAAACAATCTTACCCATCCCAGTAATAATACTATTATGTTTACTATTTTTGTTGTAAATATGAAAATGATACAGGATTTACCAATAAAATATCTCAGGATGTTACATATTTATTGTACATTTAAGATTTGTTTGTGTGCTATTGTAAAATTATGATAAACTCATGTTATAGGAATACCATTTTGTAGATTGTTTTATGGAAAGTATGAGGGTCTTTTTTTTTTTGTAAAAAAAAGGAAACCCTTACATAAAGTCTGAAGTCACTGTAAACTAATTGTTTCATATTATAGTCCCAATTCCATTTCTACCAGACTATAAGCTTTTTGAGATTCTATTTACATATAAAGACAAAAATATACCCCAAGGTTGAACAGATATGATTTTTTTGATAAGGCATACTTCTCAACTACGTCACTGCTCCTCTGTGTATATGTGGAGAACCTGGAGTTGACTATATACACACATACTATGAGGTTTTGATTTCCGGAGAATTAGGGACCTCATGTCATCTAGACCACCACATACTTGAAGACATTTCCCCTACAACATCCACTTACAAATAAATGAGTGCCTATCCTTCACTTGAAGATGTTCAGTAATCAGGGGCAGCCCCTTCCATTTTTGGATGGTTCTAATTGTTAGACTTTCTTTTGTTGTTTTGTCATTTTCAGTCATGTTCAACTCTTCATGACCCCATTTGGAGTTTTCT